AGGAGCAGTAGCAGAAGTAGCAGCAGTAGGAGCAGGAGCAGGAGCAGGGAGGAGCAGGGGGAGCAGGAGATTGAGCAGCAGTAAGAGTAGTCGTAGTCGTAGTAGTGGTAGTGGTGGTAGCGGTGGTAGTGATGGCAGTGGTGGCAGTAGTAATGGTAGTAGCAATAGTATAGTAGCAGTAGTAGTAGTAGTAGTAGTAGTAGCAGCAGTAGTAGCAGTAGTAGAAACAGAAGTAGTGGGAGTAGTAGCAGTATTAGTAGCAGCAGCAGCAGTAGTAGTAGAAACCGCAGTAGGAGCAGGAGCTGTAACAACATCAATAGCAGTGGCGATGCCAACTCCTGCCGCTCCAACAAAAATGCAAAGCAAAACGCACGGAACTTCGTGCAGAATCCAAGCCGGGGAGCTGCTTCTTGAGGAGGATATCCACCTCCTTGAGAGATCCTTCCACGGACCTTGGGCTTACTGTCCGGAGAACCATGATCCAGTCGGTTTAGGGTTTAGGGTTCTCCTCTTCTGCGCCCTTGATGTAGCCCGACAGCCGCCAGCACAACCCTGCGGTCAATCGCGTAGGCTTTAGAGTTTGCGGTGTGGGCTCAGTCTCCAACGACAGCTTTCGCTGCATCGTCGCATCGGAATCTGATCCCGGTCCTGGCATGTTGGGCTTTGGAGCATGGTGTGTTCGCTCAGTGTTTGGGAGTTCTTGCTTGAAGTTGATCACATTTTCACGCTTCACGCAAAGTCTGTAGCCGTCTCGTGTCCTCCAACTCTAGGCGGATTGTTCCAAGAAGAACTGCCGCAAATGAACGCGCGCCGACTCTCCTGCTGTTCCTTTACCTTCATGCAACTTGAACGACTGTCTCTACTTGGAGTCACAGAATCGTAAATTTGGCGAGATCCCTGGGCGTGTCAGCGAATACGCTACCGGAAACAACCAACAACGCATCACGATGCAAAGCCAGCTCATGGCCGCAGTGGTGGGTGAACCGGACCCTACACTGCAACCTCCGAAAAACCTGTACCGAAAGTGCGCATGCGTTGCCGGTGCTTGCCGTGGATGTGGACGTCGCAATAGACCGGGCAGTGGAGTCGATCGATGCCGGCATTGTTGTCTCACAGGTACACAGGGCAGTCTCGGGTGACTGAAGGAGCATTCACAGTGACTTATGGTTCGAGGTGCGGGGACAAGTGTCTTCGACGCAAGCTCAGACTTGGAATTCTTCCGGCCATTGGGTTATGAGTGGATTTTCGACTGCTTGGGTGATTGGGCTTTGCGACTGCAGTGACCTTTGCTTCACTTCAAGGTCTGACGTTCCAGTCTGCGTAGACCCTCAACCCGGACGACTTCCTCGACGAAGCCCCAGCTCTCCCAAGAGGTGTCAGGGGCCGCTTCAGAAGCTTTAGGGACCCACGGCTCGAACAGCCCACCTTGACCGCAGAAAGCTGATCCGGATGGCCTTCAGATCGTATTCACCGGGGTATGTTTTGGGCTTAGGCAGGTTTTGGGGGTTAGGGAAGAGCTGGCAAAACTTACTTGGCATTCTTTGCCTTGCAAACTGGAAACCGTGAAATTCCCGGAACAGTGTGCTCCTGATTTTCCTGGCATATCTTTGGGTTGTCTCTGGTGGTCTCCTAGTGGTCTCTGTGGGTTCTCCTGCTCGTCGTGGTCGCGGTCGTCATGACCGTCCTCTTCGTCTTGGTCGTCCTTTTCGTCGTGGTCGTCGCAATCCTTGGTCCAACCAGCGTCATGCTGGGCGCCTGTGCACAGGATCCTTTACTGTTTAGGGCTCGATGCCGGCACATCATTTTTCTTATTCTCGGACTGCTGTCGTTCCAACAGGAGCTGCACGATGAAAGCGGACGTTAGCAGGATGGACTGCACCAGGGAAAACACAGCGAAACTCGAAGCCTCCTCTCTGATCGAAACCCTACTACTCAACTTCTCAAGGTCCCAAAGGTCCCAAAACCCAAACCCTTAGCCTAAAGAAACCAACCGCTGTAGGCTTACAAACAAGAAGCAGATGCGCTGAAATGCTGCCTTTACACCTAAGGTCTAGGCTTCTTCAACTTGAAACCGACACCCCGCTTGAAAGTGTCTCAAACCCACTGAAACACATCGTCAGTGTCTTTGCCTTGTTGCCGAAATGTGGCCTGGTCGAGCAATGGATGAGACTGAATGATGTCAAGGAGCATTTGATTGTGGGTTGGGTTGGGTTGGGTTTGAGGTTTGGAATCCACTCGAGTCCGACACTTTCGGGGGTTCGCGCACCGCAGCAGCAGCACCAGCACCATCGGCAATAGTAGTGGGAGTAGGAGCGGGAGGAGAAGGAGCAGTAGCAGCAGCAGCGGCCGCTAGTAGCACCAATGCAGATTCCTTCGTATGTTGCGAAAATCCAGGAATCGGGAGCCCCGGCGGAATGAGCCGGTCCCCGCTGTGGCCGGGCAGTGTGACCTGGTCAACTCGACATCGGACAGGGCTTGAGAAAAGCACAGTTTCTGCCTTTGGGTTGACCGTGGACAGAACGCGCTTTAGAATCTTTCGAGGTGTCTGACTTACGACATCCAGCTCAGGAGGGCGGAGCTGAATTGTTCGTTTCTAGTTACAGGTGCACGTCTCTCCCAAAAAACAATGTGAATGCAACGGGTCAGGGCAGCACAAGGTGTGATCTCTGACGGTGTTGAGGAGTTCAGCTCAAGAACACCAGAAAGGAAGAACTGCCTGAATGGACTAACTCGGCAGAGCTTTTCCAAAGACTAGGCGTGCAGATCACGTATATCTGATAAGGGTGCCATGATGTACAACACTGTATTGACCTTACTCAGGGCAAACGCAACACCATAGGAATGAAGTAGTGCGCAATCCCGCAAAACAGCAAAACCCATATACACCCTTGTACTTGTGGGAAAAGTACCTGCTTCTCGAGACAAGCAAGCCTTTGCACGACGACCTCCCTTGCCCCCTTCCCCAGCGTCGAGGCATGGCCTCTGCTTAAAACCCTTGCCCGGTGCGATGAAGGACGGGAGCTTTTGATCAACACTCAACACTCCTACTTGCTACTTGCCCCAAACGAGGTCTCAAGTTTCCAACTTCTCCCTCACACGCAAGTCTTGATCCAGACTTTACTGTAGTTCGGGGGGCGTGAAAGGAGGGGGATGGGAGTGGCCGGGGAGGTGGAGGCGGAGAGGGGACGGACAAAAAGCGGGTCGCCAAGTAAGTCAAGTGGGGCTCGACTAGTAGATCCAGCCGGCGTTCGTGCTGCTTCGCTGTCCTCACTCTTACCCTTCTTGCTACCACAGCTGGGGTTATCGTCCTGTGCCCTCCCGACCCAGTCGATGCCGAGGCAAGCTCTGATCGAATGCATTGGCACCGGTCCACTGGCGACCCGCTCGACGGCCTGACGCAGCTAGAAACATACAAGTCTACAGTTGTCGCGGTGACGATGGTCCTGACATGCAGTGACAATAATGGCAGGGGCTCCAGTTTGCAGGTGTACAGCATGGGGTCTTCGTTGTCTACGGCAGTCTTGGAAACATGTCGCACTGCTGCAGCTCTTTCTGCATGCTGCTGCTTGTTCAATTTTGTTCTTGCACAAACTACTGCTCCTCATCTTGCTGTTCCAATGTGTGGTGAATCAGTGAACATGGCATCACTGGGACTGTAGCCCCCCCCAGGACATGGCAACCCTGCATATTATAACTCCGGCAGGCCCAAAGGCATCGCCGAGTGAGTGCTGCAGGAATCTTACACAAGTATGGTTTTGGAAACACACAGAAAATAAGGTATATAATCGAGTATGATGGATAAGGTGTCATGCCATCTATCTATCTACTTATCTACCTATCTACCTATCTACCTATCTATCTATCTATCTATCTTTCTTTCTATCTAACTATCTAACTATCTATCTATCTATCTATCTATCTATCTATCTATCTCTCTCTCTCTTTCTCTCTCTCTCTATCTTTCTCTCTCTCTCTATCTATCTCTCTCTCTCTCTCGCTCCCTCTCTCTCTCTCTCCCTCTCTCTCTCTCTCTATATATATATATATGCATGCATGCATGCAAACACACATACAAATATAAATATACATATGCGTTCATGCACATACAGCCTGCACGCATAATTCTTGCAATTATGCATGCAGGCATGTATGCATGCAAGTACGTAGGTGGGGAGGTGGCTAGGCTGGCAGGCGGAGGAGGTAGGTGGCCGGGCAGGCAGGCAGGCGGGCAGGTGGGGTGGACCGGGAGCCAGGCGAAAGGATGGACGTGATGAACAAAAACATGTCCGCGCATGCGATCAAAAAACCAGCCCAACCAACCCCCACCTCCAGCTCGAACGAGGCCCAAGCTCAATTAACAGGACACGAATGTCTAGCACCTGCGCTCGATTTGCACGTGCATTGAGTTTTTTGTGGCCTTCGGCTGCTTCACTTGGCCCGGCAGCATCGTCACAGGCTGACCTCCTATCACAGGCTTCGAGAAGCTTCGTGAAAACCACGAAGGCGTAAAGCTCTTCTGTATGAGGCTGCTGGGAATGTGCTTCCGACTTGAACAGAGATAGGTCGGACAAGTGCATGCACGGTCCACGACAAACCGACCACTACACCAGCCTGAACGGAATCAGCACGAGAGCTTGAAGATAAATCAAACAGGTGCCATCCTTGCATTGCCGCAGCAGGCATTGCTGGGGGCATGTGGTGCACCTTGGTCGAGATGCAATCACTACACGGCTTCGCACGAAACGTCGACGAATGGATCCAATCGGTCCCCGTGGAGATGGGAGGCAAAGCAGCGTGGCAACGGCAATGACATTGGGAGGACTGTCACTGGCAACTGCTACCATTTCATAAACGCTCAGCCACCATGATGCCGAACATGCAGTCGCAGCTGAGGCTGCTACTCCCGGCGGATAAAACGTGGCAGGCATGGCTTGGTGGAAGGTGACATGCCCGTCAGACCTGTAGGAAGCCGTGTTTGTTAGGTCTCTAGCAGCGTCAGCAACGAAGCAGCAAACATGCATCGAACCTGTCGATGCAACTGTAACGCTTGATGTAGTTGACACTGTCGGCACTTGAATTGTGGATTGTCTCTCTCGAACTTGCGCATACCGCATACCTAACACGAGCGAAGCACATTCTCAAAGCAGCGTGTAAATTCCCAAGTGGCAATAGTGGCAAGCAGTCGCAGTCCAGAGTCCAACATAAAACTCGCAGACCCTCGGCCCCAAACCCTGCGATCTAAATCGAAACCACCTCCACACCCTAAATCGACAAAACGCCTGGACCTTGAACCCGATGGAGCCCCAAGTCGGTTACATGTCGACACTTCAGAAGATCTCCTCTCAGCCACAGGCTGATGAGAAACAGGGGCATGGTGCAGACCTTGGCCAACAAACTGAGATTTCGACAAGCCTACCAATTGTGGAGCTCGAAACACACCCGAATGCTTATCTGCACATATAGTCTGTGTAGTGCAACTGTGCAGATGTAACGGACAGAGAAATACCTTATCTAGACTGACCAGTACCTGACTGCCATGTATCGTCCTGAAATACGCGTCATCTTGATACTGGCGAGAATACTTGTCGCTCCTACTTTGCCCTTGTGCTTTGTACCAGTACCGGTCTGCGTCTCCCTGTGGAGATTGGCATTACAACCTCAAGAACTCCCCATGGCACACCCCGAAGCCTGACGTCCAAAAGCCCTTAGGTTCACCATCCCTAAAGCTTCTTTAACCCCAAAACACCCCGCAGTCTTGGCTCCCGGCCAGAGGAGAAGCCGGGTGGAGTGTGCCTCGGGCACAAGAGGATTCGGGTGAGGGATCAACAAAAAAACCAAAATGTACTAACAAGATCCTTCGAAAGGACTTCCTAAAAAAAAAGACTAGTGATGGAGCAATCGGTTTAGGTATTAGGGTTCGGGGTTGAAGGCTTGGGGCAATATGCAAGATGGAGCCTTTGCGAGATGATCTTTCTCTTGTGTTGCACGCGTGTTTTGGGGCGTGTATCCAGACTGCCTGGATACAGTCGTGTCTGCACATGTATACATGTGCTTTGCAACGTTCGGTACACATTCCTGGTAGATTACATCTGCGTATAAGCATGTACTTTATACATGTATGCCGCATATGCCTGTATGTCTGTCTGTCTGTGTGTGTGTGTGTGTATGTGTCTACATACACATAAACGGCAACAGTTCCTTCACATGAGATGCCTGTATGCGAGTATGCATGCATTCGCGCATACATTTGGGAATCTGCACGTGCATAAGATGCATTCGAGCATACATGTGGGAATCTGTAATGTATACGAAAATGCAATTCCGCATTTATGCGTGCATGCAAGCATGCACGGATGCATGTATGTCTGCGTGCATGCAAGCATGCACGGATGCATGTATGTGTCGAGGCATGCATTTATGTGCACGATGTATCTAAGTATGTACGTATGTATGTATGCAGGCATGCGTGCACGCATCCATCGATCTGGACACGCATGCATGCGTGAATGCATGCATGCACATATGGAAAAGAGCGACGGGAAGGAGAGAGAGAGGGAGAGAGAGAGAGAGAGATAGAGAGAGAGAGGGAGAGAGAGAGAGAGAGAGGAGAGAGAGACAGAGAGACAGTGTGAGAGAGAGTATGCGAAAGTGAGACTGAGCCTGAGTCATTCAGTGAGTGAGGGCGTGGGAGTGTATGAGTGCGTGTGTGTGTGTGTGTGTGCGCGCGCGCTCGAGTGTATGCGTACGTGTGTGTGTGTGTGTGTGTGTTCTGTGTGTGTATGTATGTATGCATGTACGTATGTGTATGTCTGTATGTGAATATATATATATATATAAATAAATAAATGTTTACTTATTTATTTCGAGCCAACATGTCTGTGTGAGGAAACAGTTGGTCACTTCGGGGACTTGGGTTCGGGGAGTTTCCTCTGGGGCGTGGGATCTCCATGGTAAGCCGAGCCCACACCAAGATCATGTTTCGAGTGTCGGATGTAGACACTCAAGTTTCCATGTCTTGGTTCTGCATTTGCCAGCTCAGCGGGCTTCAGAACTGATGAGTTCTAAACTTCGATTTAGACTCATCTCCCAGGAAATTACACGTTTCTGGGTTTTCGGGTTGCGGTACTGTATGAGCCTCCACAAAAAGGCGGATCAGGGAATATTCATGCTGCACATACATTGCGCCGCCGGTGCTTCTTCCCCGTTCGACGGCTCAATCAAGTTCGAACAACACTGCATCTGGTCACTCAGTTCGGGAAATCCAACAATACTCTGAACTTCCTGGCCGGGGCCGGGAATCAGGCCTGGACTTGAGAGAGTGCACGTCTGGACTTTTCGGCTTCCCGTCTGCAGGTTCGGTCGCGGAACCCACGTGGTCCTCTTCCGTCCCATGGGCCACAGCGGCGACAGGAGCTTCTCACGCGACTGCGGACTGTGCGCACACACACAAGTTGTATTGAATGGCATCTGTCGCTTGTGAAGAAGCCCCCGCGATCTAATTCTCAAATAGCTAGAACATGCATTGTCAAAGTCGGCAAGCCTGGGGAATCTTTGTAGAAACCCCTGGCCCGAGTGGGATTCCTAAGCGGTCCCAAATCAAAGGATGTCACATGCATTTTCCGAAATGCTCTGGATGTCTCGCGACATCAAGAAAGCAGAGTCGGCACAGTGCTCCATCGTCAAATCATCCGCACCTCGAACCGCAAAGCACGATTGCACCAAGATGGATCGGGAGGAATGCGGAGCTTTGTGGAGTGCCGTTGGGTTTCTGCTGTTTGCTTTGGAGTTTAGCATTTACAGACTCAAAAAAAGCCACATCAGGTCCGCTCCCGAAAGCCTTTTCGATCAAGGCTGCTACCGCTGAAGATTGCGCACCTCCGACGGTGGCGGCGAACATGTCGAGGGTGGTGGAGATGAGGCCTTGGCGGCCTTAGCCGGTACCTGTCCAGGAGGCTGAGTTGACGCACAGGCGAAGACATACAAGCGGACCGAGACCGACAGTCGTACGTCCTCATGAGGATAAGGACCGGCAAGACATTCTGCAAAAGCAATCATTACTGTAAAGAATCAAGAGTCTGAAATCCAGTCCATCCAACAAAGAAACACAGCTGTTTGTTCGCAGGCATGAGTAGGTGCGCATAAGCAAAGAGCTCGCGAGGTCAGCAACCGCTGTTAGAGCTCCTTGCTTGTGCAAACAACCCGCCAAGGGAACTCCGAAAGAGCCGATCCGGGGGGCCTCTGAAACCACAGCCCGCGATGATGCGCTGTCATGATGATGCATTGATTCTGAAGAGTAATACGTTGCTTATGGCACTGATAATTACCATTGTCACCATTCTTGGTCCCTGACTTTTGAGTTCGCCTGCGTTTTTCATATAGGTCTTCTTCTGGTGGTGATGTGGCAGGTCTTTGTCGGAGGAGCCGGCGCCTTTGCAACTGCCTGTCCACTTTGTAAAGATTCAGGGCTCGCTGTCCAAGCCCAAGAGTGGCGCCGCACTTTAACTCCCAATGTTACCTCTAGGTGGGTGTGACTGTGAGGGCTCGCGTTGAATAAACAGTGAAGAAACTATGAGTGCTAAAGGCTGCGGGGTCTGAGACTCTAGCAGTCTAGCAGGCTAGGCCCCGTTCAAGCAGGTGCCGCTGAGTCGTTCGCACGCTCTTCACGCCCAATCACTGAAACTGACAGAGCTGACCCTGTCAAGCTCCTAATAGGAGGCACCGTTGCCAACTGAAAGTCTTTGGAACTCACAGGCACACAGGAGGGGCCTTGGGCGCCACGGGAAGCTTTCCATGCCTGTCCAGCACCTGGTGAAAGATGGAAAGCATGCAGTCAAGCCCTAAGCCTAAGCCTCGAGTGTCCCATGTAACATGATCTCTTGCCCTGCCTGGAGCAATTCCGGTAGCAAGTCAGAAGGTCTTTCAGCACTCGCCAAGCGAGCATCAATAGCGTTCAAGTCCTTTCCACGCAGGCAACGCAAAAAGATATGACAAAAAGCCCCGGGGTGCAGCACCCGGCCTCCTGCGTCGTCTTTTGTCTCTTCCCCATGCTTTCCACAAGGTGCTGAGTCGCTCGGTCCTGGCAGCGGCAGCAGTCCCGTTCCCCGTACTGTATAGCCCCCAATCTAGGCGGCTTTGCATTTAGCTTGTACTTGTTGACCACCACCATCGTGTCCTCAGTCAGTTTGCGACGACTGCGGCACTACGGCTATGGAGAGGTGCAATTTGCGTTGCGAAAGCTCGGCCAAGTGTCATTCCTTGGGCGAGGGGCTTTACACAAGGTGTGGGTGGGTGTTCTCATCCTACGACCAGACTACCCCAAACTACTGAAAACTAGGGCAAAGTTCGATAAGCTGCGCAAGCTTTCCAGAATCTGAGAAACCACTCGGAACTCTTATTAAACTACGACGCAAAGCTTCCGAAAACTTCCAAAACCTTACCGAACAACCTGCCACTCAGTGGCCGGGTGGATGTTGGATCGCATGCCGAAGGTACCCCGGTCCAGCTGGGTGATCAGCACGCCGATGTCGGGCCGACCCTGGACGATTCTGCATTCTGCCTTCTGCGACACCCGAAACACCCTTTTTTTTGCGAGGAGCGTTGGCATGGACGTCCGCATCCTTTTTCTTTAACCTCAGCCGCTACACCATGGTTCGAGCAGCTCTTTCCCCCCGTGCCGGCATAACAAAGCAAACTCAAAGGTACAACGAACACCGAGTGGACCACCCCATCATCTGTTCTGGGTCCCCTGCCGCTGCACTTGCCGTTGCACATTTCTGTTTTTCTTGCGCGGCGATGCCTTCAGGAAACGCGACAGGAAAGGACACCGTAGGGATGCTTCTATTTAGCCATATATGCAGCCAGAAACCATGCCGCGCGGGTAGCATTAAACCCTGAACGCCTGCGGGAGTTCCGACAAGTCCCGGTACTCGATGGCCCTCTTGTATGATACCTGGAAGCACGTGAACGCCCCACACACGAGCCATGCAACTGTGCAGACTTGTGCAAACTGCCGAGCCCCATGAAGCCAGGCGACGCGGTCGGTCATGTTCAGGGGCTGTTCTTCCTGACAGGTGCCACAGCATGACGTCCTCGACGAAGAACGAATCTTTGATCTTGCTCGGTCCACGGCCTCGTTCCACTGCTCGTTCTGCCTGTGACATTCGTCTGTGTTTGCTCCGCGGTAGCCGCCATGGCCGCCGTCGAAGCCAGCCGGGGGCTGAGCCTGCAGACAATATTCAGGGCAATTTGCTTCGTGCATCTTCTGCTTAAGCACCGACGGGCCAATGCCCCGCCTCGACCCTCAGCGGAAACCGTGCACGCTCCGGCACAGTGCGAAGTTCACCGAGACCCTTCTGTTGAAGTGTTTCCCCCCCGTTGTCCCGGACGACGGGATGTGCCACACTGCTGCAGGCGCGCCGGAGAGCATCGGGCCACTCTGTGTCAAACGGAATTTGCACTGGCGTTGTGGCCATGGCGTCTCTCCACCGCTCGCCTACGGAAAACTTCGGGGGCAAACCACAGATGCCCGAGCGTTCAGACTTGCACTTGCTGGGAAGCTGCGCAAACAGGACACTCAGAAATGCAGAAGCTCAATGGCTCAATGCACCAATGCCACCAGCCCGAACTGAAATCACTGAAATCCTGCCAGCACGGGCCGTTCGACTACATATGTAAAGCCGAAGAGCTGCATACGTGCCATGGCTATGATATTGCCACAGAGCCATTGCCGACGTCATGCATGCTCCAGGCGAATCTCTCGGCTCCCGTCTGAATACCGAGCATGCGGCAGGCGCCAAGCACGACAGAGGGACATGCACCTTCTTTCTCAGATCACCTCCCGAGGAGTTATGTCAGAAGCAGTTTTTTGAAACCGTGGCCAAGCCGATTGCATGGGGTGTCCCACTCGCATGGCGGTCCTTGAAGCTCGCAAGTCGCTTGGGTGAAGCCAGCCTTTTTTACCTGACAAGACGGATTCTGAGAAATGCAATGACAGTGCCTGGAAAATGTGGCCGTCAACATGAGGCTCTAAGATGCCACCCTTCTGTCCTGATCTTACTAGCTCAGAGTAAACACGTTCATCGAGAAAGACACGCCATGTCTCGGCCCGTTCTGTCATGTCTGTGTGCGTTTGCTGTCATTTAACTCTATCCCACAGCGTGCTAAACGTGGCTGTGTGGTGCTTGCAGGTCACATGCAGCCGACAGGGAGTACCTAAATGATTCCGTGGGCTGTACGTGGGACGACTTTGTGGACAGGTCTGGATTTTGGTTTCAATCTGCAAGTAAGAACCAATGCACCAATGAGATGCCAGCCCGGAGGGCGGGCTGCTTCAGCCCGCGACGTGACATAAAATCGATTTTAAGACCCTCACAGGTGCCTGTACTTCCGAGATGTCCAGGCACTGCAGGCCTATAAAGTAGAACAATAGATTTTACGTCATGTTTGCTGCTGCCGGACTGAACCGAATCAAATCTGATTTTAAGCGTTGTCCCGCGTCGAGGATATGTTCCAGAAAGCAGGTCAGGGCATTATGAGGCCCGTAGAGGCGCGCAGGCCCCCAAGGCACCCACAGGCCCCAAGTGAGTGAGTGAGGGAGTGAGGAGTTGGCTCTTAAATGACTGTGGCCGAAATCGGTGTGCTGCTGCACCAACATGCCCTTATTCGACGGCGCGGGACCGTGCATCACTGTACCGTATCGGTGTATCGGTGGGAGAGCGCTTCTATGTCGCCGCCTGCGGTTACCCTGTGTGAATCCGCCGACCCCCTGGGGGCGGCGCCCCGAAGTTGTTTGACCAACGTTTTGCAAGTGGCAAAGCAGGCTTCAAAACCTCCGACCTAATACCTTGCAGCCATAGGCAGAAAAGGTGCGAAGGAAGAGTGATGGCTGAGCATGTTTTGAAGCCTCTGAGACGCATGTTTGCGAGCGGGCCCTCAACTCGCCCTGATCTGTTTGAAGTGAGCTCTTCGACGCTTTAAGCTGCTGTTAGGGCCTCCTCGAGGTTCCGTCTTCTAAAAAAAACCGCTTGCCCGACAGGTTCCGTTTACAAAGACAGGCCCCCAACCTTCTGAAAAACAACCTTGCCACCAAGAAAACTCGCCTTTCGCATCTGTTACTGCACTTAGGTTGCTTAAGCAAAGCAAAGATCGCGTCTGCTACTTTCACTTCGGTTGCTTAAGCAAAGCAAAGATGGCGTCTGCTACTTTCACGTCGGGTGCTTAAGCAAAGCAAAGATCGCGTCTGCTACTTTCACGTGGGGCGCTTAAGCAAAGCAGTTAGAATGCTTCAGCAAAACAAAGATCGCGTCTGCTACTTTCACTTCAGGTGCTTCAGCAAAGCAAAGATGGCGTCTGCTACTTTCACTTCGGGTGCTTAAGCAAAGCAAAGATCGCGTCTGCTACTTTCACGTGGGGCGCTTAAGCAAATCATAGATGGCGTCTGCTACTTTCACTTAGAGTGCTTCAGCAAAGCAAAGAAGGCGTCTGCTACTTTCACTTCGGGTGCTTAAGCAAAGCAAAGACCGCGGGAGCCAACAAAATTCGGGCATGGCCTAACCCCGTCTCAAAGCTAACGAATCTGTGGTCTGTGGCTATTCTAGAGCTTGCCCTTGCCTCAAGCGGCAAGAAACCTGGAAGCCTTCATAAGCTACTTTTTTGGATCTTGTGCGCGGGCCTTCTTAAGTGTTTAGGATGCTGAAATCCGTTCATGGGTTTCGCACATCTCCAGCTGGTAGGGGTCTGAAGTTTTTAAAAATATTTCAGTGTCGCAAAAACCCAAGGCTAGGCTGGATTGGAGCCCCCCGCCTCCCACGCACGTCGCGAAATCCATGTTGATGTTGTGCGTGTTCTGCAGCTCGAGCGTCCACGGCCTCCACCGAGCCGTGTTGGATAACTTCACTGCGATGTGAAAATGAGGGCGGCCATTGCAATGAAACTCACGGTATACCACCATCTTGCTGACAACAACCCGTCTGTGCGGAGATACGTTGGCTTGGCAAGCTGCAAGGCTACTCATCATGAGCTGGCATACTTGTTCACGAGTTTAATCTTCAGGCTTGGCGCCATCGGAGCCAGTGGGCGCCGACCATGTGCATAAGTACCCCAATAGTACCTGGTTTGTGTCACACCTGCCAAATGTGTCCACTGGCGCCGCTGTCGTTTTGCGCTTCTTTGGGCTTGGGAGTATTGCGCAGCCTTCTCGACTAGCTGTCGAGCGAGCTCCTTGCGAACCAGTTTGTCCAGTATGCTGCGTGCTGCTTCTTTATGCGGTTCCAACTCTTCCGGGCTCATGCTCCAGGCAATCGACAGTTTTTCAAGAAGCTGGTTAAAGCTCAACGCTTGGAGATCCTGCGACGCCTGCCCAGATACCCGCAAGCTCCAGGATTCAGCGTGGCCAATGACATGGACAACACAATAGAAACAAGCACGATGTCACGGACTGACGCAGTGCGGTGGGAACATCGCCACTACTGCGACCCCAAGAGCACATGAATGCACGTGGCTCAGCTGCAGTGTTTGTGAGCAAACCTACAGCTCTTTCTCGCCTTGCCCCCGTTTGCTTCTGCTTGTGGCGTCTCTGCACTTGAATGTCAAAAGTGCTTTGACTGAGTACATGCAAACATCAGACAACGCAAGCACACATTGCAAGCCATGCACCGAAAGTAGAGAACGGCTTGCGCAATGGCATCTGTTGCAAAGATTGGCTTGAGATCCGGAAGCCATCAACCTGTTGATGATCATCAGCGGAGCATTGTGGCAATCCTTCTTCATTGCTGACTGTCTTTTTCAAGCGCACCTGTAGGGTCTGCAGCTGCACTTGTTTCTGTGAGACAAATGCACGGCGGCTCTCAATTATGGCTTTGCCCACCTTCCGCGCACAGGAGAAGATTGAGTGACCAGGTAGTGCCAAAAAGCCGTAAACGTGGTTACAGCGCGCGAGCAGCATCACGACAATGCTGGGACATGCGAATCACAGGAACAGACGATACTTGCTGCTGCAAGCCTACCATGTTGAGCATCATGCTCCAGCGTATCAACGTCCACACACAAACGCCAAACACCGTCAGGACAGCTTGGAAAGCGGCCTCGTCGTGCGGTCAACGTGCTTTGGGCATCGGCCGCGTGAGCCCGGCAGGTGCCACAGGGCCCTGGGTGGTGCGAGATGACTGCTGAAGGGCTTCGTGAGCTGTCTAAAGCTTTTGGTGGGGCATTTCTGGATTCTTCGACTGCTGCATTGTGCCGTCGGATTGGTAAACTCTGCGACAGACTCTCCAGACCTTTACAGGACGTTCTGAGGCGGTACCTACATCAGGAATCCAAGCAGCTTTACACTTGAGGACCTAGGAGCTAGGAGCTGAAAGCTGCTTACAGCGGAAGGAGTTTGTACATCTCCTGACGAGCCACCGGTTCCACCGTGGTGTCGGTGTCGCGGGAATCCTGCTTCACAAGGCACCGCGATCTCACCACACGAAACCAAAAGGCCCTTCCTTTCTCCGAGGATACACCTGCTTCCCATCACTCATCAAAACCGGCTCTCTAATCCCGGCACACGTCCAAGCCTGTCCAAAATTCTGCACAACTCTTGCTCTCCATGTGGGCCACCCCGGCAGGTATACGGACAATGACGAGCTGACCAGCCAAGGTCACACTCACAGCCATAGTCAAGGGCAGCCCTGACTGGAATTCACCGAACTGAGACCCGCTGAGAGCCGCGATCCTGGTCGGTGCCGCTCTCCATGAATCGGGCCTTCTGCACAGAGCTCCAAACTTGGGATCCCAGGGCCCGGGAACTTGAGCTCGGATTTTCGGCTTCAGGATTCCGATTCTGGGTTAAGGCTTCGTCGTTGTCCCATCCCAGGAACCCGTCTTGAACCCGAACACTGAATCCTGAAACTCGCAGGTCCTGAGTGTGCAGGGGCTGCCCTAGTTTGGAGGAGTACATCCCAGGAAGGGCCACCCAAAACGAGATATTAAGATGCAGCATCTGACATACAGGGAGCGAAGAGCCTGCCGCCGCTGCTCCCAGCGTTGGTCGCGTGGCCGTGCCACCGCCCTGCACGCAAAAACTCTAGGAACAACGTTGGACTGAACAACGTCAAAGCATGAGCCAGCTTTGTCCCGCAACTGCAAGCCCAGAGCACCCGCTGGAGGAGTCGGAGACGGGCGGCGTCGGCACTTTCGTAGGTGGCTTTGCCTGCGAGATGTTGGTGCTGCAAAGCCGGCGTCAGTGTAGTCTAATCCCGCTGCTTGCGCTAGGTCCAATGATGACAAACGCTGGTCTGAAGGCACGTGCAGTTGCAGCCTATGCCCACTAGCATCCTGCCACCGCAACCCTGAATACTACGCTGCATCCGTCAGTATCCAAGACGCTTGCCTGCGGTCCTGCGCTCGCCGGTCTTCGGCGCACGCGCACAACCTGTTGAGACACGTTCGAAAACGGGAAGCAGGTGAATATCGAACTTTCAATGTTTCCTCTATTCCATTGTTCTGATCGCTTCCGCTGCTGTTGTCGGCACTTTGGCTCCGGTACAACCGGCCCTCTCTCCCCCTCTCCCTTTGCTGAAAGGCACAAAAGGCCTCCTCGGCCGTTTCCCAAGGCGGCAGTGGCCGGGGTGCTGCACCATGGAACTGGCCCGAGAGCGGCTTTCGTTTTCGGAGAGGTGAGTGAGCATTGCATGAAAAGGAGTTTTCAGGACACCCGACCTTCACCCTACATCGACCCATGTTTCTGCAACAGCTCTGCAAAGCTGGAACAGTCGAAAGTCTCAAACCCGGAAGCATCCTGGCGAGCAAATCTCTGACCTCCGGCTCCCGCCGCAAGTCACCGCTCAGTGAGGGTTCCCTTGGTCGCTGGCAGTCTTGGACTTCTTCCTTTCAGCCCACATGTAGGTCAAGGGCTCACAGACGAAACTGCTCAGGTCAGTATGAACACCATGCATTGCTGAAGTTGGCTCAGCACGGCTGAGTGATCTTCGGATCCTTTGGAGGTGACGTGCGGGGGTGTACTCGCGTAAACTCTGGGCCCCTGGCGGGCTCAAAGCCTCGACCATCTTCGCGGCGGCGGAGTTGGCACGGAGCTTCCCCGAGCGGGAGAGCCTTCTCACTTCTCGGACGACTTCACAGTTTTTCGGAAGGAGGCCGATAACCATTGCGCTGACAAGGGCTCTCTTCTTGGGGAGTCCGTTGCGGCCTTCAGAAGCTCTGTTGAAAGTGTTATTCGACCACCGTGGGCATTCACCTGCTACCTCCTGCAACGTCGATGAGGTGAGGCTTCTTTCGGGAAAAAGCCTGCAGGTATACTTCTCTAGTCCGGGCACGGGAAGCAGTTGGCTTCAAACGTGCGACAAAAGCTGCAGTTCCGACATGACAACTCTTAAGCCAGATGTGTGTACGAGCAACGAGGAGCTAAGCTAATGGAGGCTAGCCTCAGCCTTTCAGGAAACGCTTGGCAGCTGCTCAGATTTAGTCCCATCTCCATGGGATAGCGAGATCACGCAGATGCAGCTTCGAGAGCAGAGTTGCGCTTAAGGTTTACGGTTCAAGGGTAACCGCCCCAGCCTGCGAAGCAGCATCTCAGCCGTGGGTCTCTTGGCTGGATCTCTCGTGAGCCTGCCGTAGCTCCCGGGTCAAGTGGGGGGGCCTGAGCAATCAGACTAGTGTCTTTTTTGGGGTTTAGGGGTGCGCTTACTATCAGTATACTGGGGAAACCCGAGAAAAACTGGCATGAATTACTCGGGCCTTAGACTTGGTGCCTGAGCTTCATGGCAAGTGTCAAAGAGGGAAACAAAGAGTTGGAATGAAGAAGAAGGGTACGAAGAAACTCTGATGATAACATTCATCGCTGTGATTTTGCCCAATTACACGAATGCGACGAGAAACAATGGTGGCAACAAGGGCCATATGATCGGCTCGGCATGTGCGAGAGTGAAGCACCACCATTCTTCGTAGTAGTGGCACTTGCTTTGGGGCCTCAACCAGCATCCTTCCAGCGGAAGGATTGGATCCAACTCCACATCCCACCGCTCTAGAGGTCCCGTTCTATTTGCAAGCCTCATGCCACAAGTCCAGACCAAGAAACTCCACCAAACCAGGAAAGGATGATCCCAAGCCCCACGCCCCAAGCCCACAGCAACAGGACCAAATGAGGTCGGGCGGCATCGTCGAAACGATCTGCGAGAACTCCTCAACTCATGGACAGCCCACTCAGCATTGAGGCATTCGGGTGCAAAGGTGTCGAGACTCGGTCCGCTGTGCTTTACGTTTCCGGACAGAAGTTCGTGATTCTTCAAGGTTTTGGCAGGTGCCCAAGGAATAGACCCTTAAAGCCTTAGGCCCTCTTCAGGCACAGGTATGAGGTGAGAGAACTCCAGGTCTGGGTCGCCTGCTTGGAGCCTGGGATGTACGCTTCAGGTGCGAGCGGGCCTCTGTACAGTCCCAGTTGGCCCAAACAAGTTTCAACGGCTAAACCCCTAAGAGAAGACCCTACTGCAACAAACCCAACCCTGACAAACCCTTCACAGGCCTGCGGCCGGTAGCTGGGGATCGGGGCGTACCTCGAAGGCCCATGCAAGCCAACCAGGTCAACTCGGACTTTGGAGGATGGTGGCAGTGGTTGGTTACGGCCCGGGAGGAGGAAGCGGAGGAGTGGTGGCACGCGCAGTGGTCACAGTGAGCCGCGGTACGCAGATGCCAAAAGTAGTGGGAGCTAGGCCTCTCTCTTCTTCTACGATCCGCAGCTAGCCAAGCTGCTGCCCGCGGAGGACCGCCGCGATGACGTCCTAGCAGAATGGGTGTTGATGTGTCTGCTCAAAAATCATCATCACACACTCCGACTACGCTTTCGGTATGTTCGAGCCTTCTCACACGGATCTGCGAACGCTCGCGACACAGGTTCTCGCTGAAGTCCGACTTCGGACTTCGCGCGTCATAGATTACGACACCAGTCTCACGCAGCCGTCAAAGCCAAGGCCAGGCCGAGTTCTCAGAGACCAGAGCCCCGAGCTGCGAAAGAACATGTGAGCTGCTGGCAGAATTCAATCAATTCCCCTTTCTCAGTAAGAGACCCGCAAGTTTAACCTGAAAGAGCTGGCAAAACCCAAAAGAATCCCAGTGTCTCATCCATACACACAGAAAGACATCTACTTGTCCTGCAGGCTCTTTCCCTTGAAAGGTAGCTCCAGAGTTAGCAGCTCCTCAGTTGAATCCCGAATGGAATGCTTCATCGGTTTGAGGGGTCCCCTAACGACGGGCAAGGATTGTTCTGGCAACCCTCACAGACTGCCGCGCCATCACGGCTCCGTAGGAACTTCGTGAAAGCTGCGATCTCTGAATGGCTCAAGCTTACGAGGCATCTCTGGTCAGGCTCTGCTAACGTCTTTGTGTGTCGATACACCTTTCCCCAACATGCCAATCTGTGTATGGTCTGAAAAAGCTGAGAAGGAGCTTAAGGCAATACGGGTTCGGGGCTGCAGAAATCTGCTTGTTTGGTGCGCTACCAAACCTTGGATGATCTTCTGAAGCCATCACAAGCTTGCCCGAGGTGCATAGAGAACGACCCCGAGGGACCAAATGTCCGTTGTGTTGGTGTAGGTCTGTCCTGCGAGGGTGCTAGACTTTGACAACAACATCTTCCAGCTCCTGAACCCACGACGCTGAAACCCTTAGACTTAGACCCTAATGCCATGAACACGAAAACTCACCAGGACCAGCTGGCAGCATTCAACAACAACCTGTGCCATGACTGGTGTATAGATTCCGACCTCCCAGACGGAACCTAGTTGCAGCTGAGTCGCGAGCTGGGCCAAGAGGCGTTCAGTCGGAATCCGACAGAAGAAGTTGTTGGTGCTAGCTGTTGTTTGGGCTGTGGGTTGTAGAGGAGTTTCGGGTTGGGTTACCGTTTATGGCAACTAGCTTTCTGCGGCTCGGAGGTTACTGCAAATGTGTTTCGAGAACCCCGCCCGCAAAGCACAGCCTGCAAAAAGACTCATACTCCAAGATTAGATCCTACAGCCCATGTGCCACCTTGCCTTCGATCATCTCCGGAGAGAAATAGAGGGGCGTCCCGTAGAAGGACTGCAGACACAGCGTTTTCCTGATCTCGAACGCTTAGGCGATTGAGAGCTCCGGAGTGCCGGGGTGTTAGGCTTTCGGGTCTGGAATGAAGCCTTTGATGTTGAGGGTGTGTAGGGCCTAGTAGCAGATGTGACGTGCGTGTACGGAAATTCGGTTGAGGATTGCTGCGGATTGACACAATATCCAGAGCCTAAACCGGCTCGCCTCCGGAGTTGCTCGTGAATCCTGCAAACTGGTGCTGCACTTGCCGGGGCTCTCGGACATCTGCCGTGAGACGCCGAAGTCGCCCAGCTTTATCACACCATCGCTCGTCAGGAATAGGTTCATGGCCTCAGGGATGCAGCAAAGGTGACAACATGTGGACTCGCTCTTCAGCCACTCGGGTGCCTTGATGTCTCGATGCACGATGCCTCGAGCGTGGATGTGGCACAGGCCCATTAGCACCTTCGCGGAGCTTGCTTCCAGTAGTAGTCGTAAAGGCAAGTCAAAAGCCACGGGCAGGGGCACTTTGATGACCGCCCTGATGGTGCTGCTCATGGTGGTGATGATGGTGCTGTCAATGAAGCAGACCGCTGATACTCATCGCAGGCACAACGGCAGTGTCAGTAGTCATGGAAAAGATGCAGCCATTGCTCCTAGATGCAGCTCGGTCTGAAGACAATAACGAGGAAACTGCCTGGCAAGAAGGAAACAGGGAAGCCTAGCGTTCAACAACACTTGTGACAGCAAACCAAGGCAAGGCCCGTTGAGTTTGGACACATGGCTTTTCGTCCTCCACACCCGAGACAGAAGTTGTAGCGAATCTTGCTACTCCACTGAGGCAGAAGACCGAAGCCCCCTGAAACCCTCATCAGGAGCCTCTCTCCGACTCGTGAAAGGGGCTCTGGCCTGCGCCAGGATGTCCCAGATCTCCTCGTCCCCGAAAGGCTTCCTTAAGATGTCACAAAATGAGACGCCGGCTGCTACAGCATGCCCGCTTTAAGCAATCGGGCGACACATGCGGCAAGAATCCGTGACCGCAAACATCACTGTTGGCAGAAGTTGGCTCAGGATGGCCAGAGAGTCTCAGGATGTCTCAGGGATGTTCAGGCTGGGATGGGGAAAAACGCACGAGGGAATTGTGCGTGAGGCGACATGAGGGAAGAAACCACGATTCAACCGGCATGAAACAGGAGGCAGCAGCAATGTGGGATCTGTTGCCGATGCAGATGTTCACCGAGACTCAGGGTGAAATTCGGAGCACCACGCCTCTTCTTCAATCGCTGTTCCATCTCTTGTTTGCTTATCTCGTCTCTCTCTACCAAGTCTCTACCTCTCTCTCTGTCGCTCTCTCACTCTCTCTCTGTTCTCCTCTCCCTCTCTCATCTCTCTCTTTCTTAGCCTTTCCTCCAATCACCACCCCGCTTCACAACAATCCCCCTGGTTCATGTCGTTGACTAGGCAGTTGGCCTGCATGTGTGAGGATTCACCCTGCGAGTGCTCGAACGAGCAATCAACCATCGGCCCTTTTTCTGCACATGTACACCCTCAGCCATTCTTTGATCCACACAAGGAAGTTGCAAAAGCTCAGACCCTCACCAAAATCGATCCCTAGACTGTAATTCTCAACTCCAAGCCTCTATAAGTCTGAAGGCTCGCGTTCGGAAACCATCTCAATACCGTGTCAGAGCACGGGCCTGGTTTCTTCGGGTACGTAGGCAGCCAACATGTCCATAAAAGACGAGCGTCCCTAACCGCTTCCGCTTCTGCAGCTCCCAATGAAGATCCCCACGGTTCGCATACCTGGGGCCAACTTGCGACCGTTTACTAAAGGAACACAGGCCCCACAAAGACAGCGTGGTTCTAGCATTCTCAGACTGACACAATACATGAAATGCTACAGGTCTGCTTGCGATGTCATGCGCACACACAGGAGCCAAGCGTCTCCAACACGATGTAGAGCGATTGTGAGGGAAAGTCCCAGAAGTAGCCGTAGCAGCGTATGATGTTCGAGTGGTTCAGCTTCTTCATGATCTGCAGCCAGAACAAGACTCGTGGCAGTGGATTCAGAGCTCAAGCTCATCCCTGCTGCAAACTCATTCAACACCAAACCACTCAACACCCCGAAGCGCTGAATACCTGCGGCCCATGGGGACAGTCTGAGAATGACCCCGCCCAAGATGAGCCAGATCTCTTCGACTTGCTGCCTCGTACTCGTTGAGGACGTCCTGTGCTTGCAGGACACCGGACGGCACTGGGGAGGTAAGTCCTTTATGAAAGGCCCCGCCGGCTGTGCGGGCTTGCAGTGAAGGAGCAAAGGTCATGACGACCGAACTGGCTATGCAAACCTAGCTGCACTCTACGATGTCTACAACTAGCACGCGTTGCACGATCGATACGCCTATCCATGTTCACATAAGTTTAAGTACACACATGTATGAAGCGGAGCATCGGCAACGCATTTTGTTGGAGTCGCCATGTGTCGCATGCTACATGGTCACACAACAATTTGCGTGAGTAAGATGTTGATGTGCTATATACTGCACACTGTCGAAGTAGCAGGAATCTACATGTCTTACTCATTCATTCTCAGACGAGTGCCAGGCGGGCCTTGGCTTTCCCCAACTCAGGGGCTCTTCGTCGCTTCAGGACGACGAGCTCCTGAAGACGGGAGGAAGACGCTGGGGTAGGGTCCGGTAGGGCATTCTTTGGAAGCTGAGAAGCTGTGTAGCTTTTGTTGCCCGGGTTTGAGTTTGTCTAGTCAAGCCCACTAGTGGGCTTCGGCCAGAAACATTTCAGATGCAGGCGGCAAGATGGAAACCTGAAGACCGCGTGGTAGCGGCGGATCATTATTGCAGGAGTTCATTTTCTCAGCAAGTAAGGACATGGCGGATCCCCACCAGCCTCGCCCTTCTTGATGCGCGCCACATGCACCGATCCAGAATCGTTGGACTGAAGGTCCTGATAGCAGAAAGGCAGATGCATCTGCATGTCGGTAATTTCGGGATGCATGACCATACCGCATCTAGTTGAGTTTGATGTTGCATCGCTCTCCACTGTGGTTCAGGCACCGGACCACAAATCAAGGATGCCCCACCGACTCAGGCTGTGAGCAGCGGTTCCTTGAGGATTTCGAACTGCCTTGGATCGCTGCTTGGGAGTGACCAGGAGCCCCAATCGTACGAGCCACATAATGAGGCCTAAACCATGAAGTCGAAACTGCAAAAGCCAAGAATTCACGTGATGCCGTGTTGCTCACGGTGATTGAACTCGCCGATGCTGGAGGGGCGCCCCTGCAGCTTTTCCACGGCGTACCTCATGTTTGAGCCAGGGGCCTGCCTTGGCATGCTAATTCTCGACAAAGCCACGACTCTAGGTATGCTGCTGAATAACCTCAGTCAGAAAAAATCGCTGCGACTTGAAACGACAGCTCGGAGGAAGGACAAGTCCATCTTCGCTCCCCTGACAGCATCCAAGCTTCGGACGCAGTTTGAAACCCTACACCCAAACCTATGTAGAGCCACCATTGTAAATAAGACCAGCCTACATGCCTTACGCCGTAGCGTTGCCTCATACTCGTGGCAAAGAAACACGCAAACCGGAAGCAAACGCGGTTAATAACAAAACACCCCAGCGTCGCTTGCCGCCCCGGTGCGGCGCCGGGGCGTGTGCCAAGCGCCGCTGCTCCCAGCGCTCCTGCAAACAACGGACAAACAGAGCTGCCTTATGCTACCTGCCGAATGATAAACTACGGTTTCGGGTTTGGGTAGATGAAGTATAGATCCCCAAAATGAGATCCGAGCTTGTCACTAATTTGCTACATCGGTGGGCAACGCTTGAGCGCTGTTGGCGCGGCCAGCCCCCTGCGTCTGTCGACTTCTCAATTTGTTCCAGCGTCGGAGCCAGCACGCAACGAAGCAAATCAGGAAACAAGGGAACCGCCGCTGGGACAGGAAACAAATGCAGTCGTTGCCGCATGTTTTGTCAATCGGACATATCCTTTCCGGGTAACTGCTGCTGTTTTCAAGGCGGTCCTAGATGAACGCAAGACGACACAAAGATCAAAACAGTAACCATGCATGGCATTCGGATTTTGGGGCTTATCTATAGTGCTCGCTTGTGGGCAGCACAAAGAAAACTTGCACCACAAGACCGTGTCCTGGAAGGTGCATGCAAGCAGCCATGCTTGGCAGTTTGGTTTTGGGGTCTGTGATGCTCGCTGGCAGGCAGCGCAAACACTTGCAGAACAACAGTCACAAGACTACGTCCTGAACGGTGCAAACAGCCATACCTGGCTTTTGATTCTTGGGTTTGTGGTGCTGGCTGGTGGGCAGCGCAAGCACTTGCATCACGAGAACGGTGCAAGCAACCATGCGTGGCATTTTGGCTTTTGGGTTTGTGTTCGCTGGTGGGCAGGTTGCATCACGGTGCAGCGACCATGCGCTGTATTTAATTTTGGGCTTGTGGTGCTTCCTGGTGGGCCGCGCAAACACATTCACATGCACCACAAGACCACAAGATTGTTTCCTGAGCGGTGCAAGCAACCATGCGTGGCATTTTGGTTTTGGTTTTGTAGTGTTCGCTGGTGTGCAGCGCAAACGAAGTCTTGCAAACAAACATGTATCAGTTGCCCCAGTCTGGCGACAACCCTCGGGTCTGGAACTCAAGCTTTTGCTACGGAGTACTTTTTAATATTCTACCCAGGCCTTGTTGCAGCAAGGGAGCTTTAGCAGCCGGTGTGTGGGCGCGCAAATCATTAAATGACACACTCTGCTCGCGGCTTGCACCGTTCAGGGACGCAGTCTTGTGGTGCAACGGTTTGCGCGGCAAATCGGCGAGCTCACAAACTCAAACCGAAAAAACAAATGCCGCTCGCACAGATCGGAAAATAACCTTGCGCTCCTGGTGTTTGCGTTGGCCACCAGATAGAGCCACAAACCCGACAGTCAAAATGCTAATGCCACGCAGGGTTGCTTGCACCGTTCGGGACACTGTCTTGTTCTGCAAGTGTTTGGACGCTGCCCACCAGCCGGCACCACAAATCCCGACATCAAAATGCCACGCATGGCTGCTTGCACCGTTCATGACACAATCTTGTGGTGCATCTGAGCTGACCGTGCAGAACATAGTCTTGTGGTGCATCTGAACTGCCCACCACAGCACCACAGACCCTAAACCTGTCTTGTGGTGCAAGTGATCGCGCTGCCCACCAGCGGGCCGGCGAGCACCACGAAATCCAAAAATCAAACGCCACGGATAACGCAGTCTTGTGCTGCAAGTGTTTCGAGGCTGCCCGCCAGCAAGTCCAACAGACCCAAAAACCCAAATGCCACGCATGGCTTCTTGCACCGTTCATGTTTTTGATGCTGTTCTGTTGCACACTCCACAACCATGTTAAGGACCATGGAAGCCTCCACGGCACATGGACTGTCCTGGTAAAAGACCAGATTACACTCCAGTATGGGGGGTCTCGTCAGGACAGCACGGGAAAAACTGTTAAGTAAATTCAGTTTTCAAGGGTCGTCTCATGTACTACAGAGTTTGGGGCACAATTGATAATGACGCCGCGAGAACGCAACAAGCTCGCCCGATCATCGATCCTGATCCCAGCCAGCCTTCTGTCAAAGGTACGCATACTGTTGGTTTTACATTCACTGGACGGAGGTACACACATGACAACTTCAAGCCAAACGCAGCCTAAACAGACGCACGGAGTCACTAGCACAATTAGTGAAGACTCGTGCACGACAGCGACCGCGACCCAACCGACGCGCAAGACTACCGTTTTTCAGCAGCTGGCCCATCCAGGGCCCCTATTGCAGGCAGCCTTAAATCGGCCAATTCTGTTGCAGAAGCCACCGAACACATGAACGATTTGTGCACATCACCACGTGTAATACACACAACTATACGGGAGAAGATGCCTCTTTCTGTGCTGAGAAGGATCGTCTACCTGACTTTGGGTGGTGGCGGTGGTGATGGTGGTCGTGGTGGTTGTCGCCGCCGAAGTCGATACGGCACATGTGGCAGCAACAATTGTAGCAGCACCAGCAACACCAGGACATTGCTACTGCTGCTCCTCGCGCAGATTCTTGACCACATGGAGTGGGCCAGTGGCGCCTGCAGAGCTATCAGACGAGATCGACAGATACGAAGACATTCTTTGGAGAGTTCGCAAGAGAATCTCTCTGGTCCTGCACCATCACTACCCTGCATTCGATCCTGGCATGACCACACACAGCACATCACTTGGCAAATCACTGAAGAGAAGAAAAACCCAGGGGGCCACAGAGAGCAGGCTCACGGCCTGGGGGCGGCGCATCGGGCTCAATGAGCTTCACCTACCGATGTGTGTCGAATCAGACTCCGAGTAGCGTTCAAGATCGCGGTAGCCTGAAGACATGTAGCTAACCTGGAACTAGCAGGAAAGCTGAAACGGACAAGGCACCGCGGAGTGTGAAGATGACGAAGTAGGACACACAACTGCTCGGAGCCGCCAGTCAAAAGCTTCCCGGAATTCCACCCTACGACCCGCCTGAGGTCCTGCGCTGCTGGGCCGGGAGCGCACGCGCACGACCTGCGATGATGCGACGAGAGAAAGCCCATCGCCAATGATGAAGACATCGACTGGGAGGATCGTACAGTTTGATTCTGCCTCGACCCTGAAACACATATTCAATACTGCGCTCAGCTCCTCGTCGCTGTATAGCTTGTTAGACTCGTGACTACGTTTCGAGCCGGACCTGGTGTCCCTCATTTCGGGCCACCGCAGCGGGCGAGCGATTCTCCTGTGCACGGACAGGAGCAACTGCAGCAGCAAGAACTCTCTTTTGGAAGCTTCACTACAGCTGCCGCCTTGTCTGGCGGCTTTGGCTCGACAGGCCTCGCACAGAGAACCAGAAGACTTCTCGTGCAGACGTAGAGTCCCTGGTGCTGGCAGTGATCTAAACCCTTCGGTGAACCTCCCAAAGTCCCTGAAGCCCGAGCTCTCGAGCTCTCTGCATGCAGGGCCTAGGATCCTCTTGCACGGCTTTTGGAGGGCGAAACAGTTTGCCCAGGTACCTCAACTCACTCCCCGAGCTTTCATTCTTAAAGCGGACAGGCAGTTGACTGTCGCCTTGCTGATGTGACTAAGCTAAACCCTAAGCTCTAAAACAAGCAAAAAGCCGAAACCCCTAACCTTTCTATATATGTAGATATGCATATGTATAGAAGCAGAGAAGGTGAAGCAGAGAGAGAGAGAGAGAGACGGAGGGTATATGCCCCAAGGGGGGTGTAATATGTTATCATATACGACACATAGCGAATATGAAATGACTTTCTGACAAAAAACCTTTCGATCCCTGCAACCGCGCCACTCCATCCGCTGCAGCAGGGACTCGGCAGAGGGACGCCGTTGTGCATCCTCCAAACCATGCAAGCACAACACGCGAGTCGGGCAAACTGGTGGACACAGGTCTTCAGGGAAATTGCGCCATCACGCCCAAAGTAGTGCGAACCCCAAGACCAGACGCAAGCGGATTCTTCCTGCATCTGTTGATGTGTGCTTGAACTCTTTCTCTCGTTCGCGGCGGAAAACTAACAGCAGAAACAACGCTCGGGCCCCAGACAAGAAGCCGACCTTGGTCAGCATGGAGTTCACGACGTCGGAAAACTCCTGTGCACACAAATCTTTGCGGAGGATGTGTCCATCTTTTCGTATAGACAATGAACAGAACCTGTACATGTTGGGGGCACTGTATGTAGCTGTATCTTGTTGGTCCCTTAGGTAAACTGAATCCTTGCAGCTTTGGGATTACGGACATCCTGAGGTGCCGCACCTGTGGTCGCCAGCTGGGCAAAGGAGAGAAGCGACAGCGGAGTACCGCCGCGATCACGTCCTGCGAGGCACTGCGCCCATACCAGTGCCAAGGCAAATGAGTTCGGCCATGCACAGAAAAGCCAACACAAATGTCGGGAAATTCCGCCGTGGACGGAGGGCGAAAGGTCAGGAACTTCCAAATCTCCCGGCACGCACTTGGCGGTTTGTTTCAAGCACGCTACCGAATTTCCCGATATGTGTTTCGGTCCCATGTGGGCCAAATTGCCTGGCTTCTGTTTTGGTCGCTGATATGCGCTCGAGTTTCCTTACATTTGTTTGGACCACCGGTACATGTCCGAGTTCGCATGTATCCAATGCAGAACGTATGGGTCATAGATCCTACATTCACGGGGGCCGGTTGGCGTGGGGGCCTTGGGGTCCAAGGTTGAAGCATGCGGCGCGGGGAAAGCTGTGTTTACCCACAGAAGGACTCGCCTCAGCATGCGTTTGCGTTATACGATTGATGCGCAATTTCTCTTCGTCATCACCTTCGCAGCCATAGTCACCATCATAGTCATCTTTCATAATCATCATCATCATCACCATCAGCCTCGCCAATCCGATCACCATGGCCACCATCAAGATCAAGAATATTAGCTCCTCGGCCCCAGACTTCCCGAATCCCGGAAGTCCTGGAGGCTGGGCCCGCGGAATGGCAGCTGCCTGTCGCTTGGCTCGGTGTGCAAGCAACAATTTCCGGGTTTCGGCACCTTCACTGGGTCTCTCACGAGAACTCTGTTTGGGGCCCGATGTGTGCTTTTCTGCTAGTGCGACAAGTATATGCAGGGGATGAGGAGACCGAGATACTCTGAGCCTCACGTCCCAAGCCCGAAGCCACAGAGAGGGACAGGGACTTAGTAGATTCCAAGGCGCAGCGAGAGCAACTCGTAGAGAACGACCCCGAGTGACCAGATGTCCGTCGTCCGGGAGTACGCGCGCCCTGGCTGCATGGCTTTGGGCTGCTCACTGCTGCAGACCCAAGTACTGCTGCACAGCCTACACACGGGTATGTGTCAGCCCTGTCGTCATCCGTGACTGCATCACCTACATCACCTCAACTCGCCTCACCCTCGCTTCGCGGTCAAGTCGGGTCGCGATAGCATCGAATCGTGTCATGTCGGAACAACACCTTGATCAAAAGAATCATTGCAAGAGGCGATGCGGTGATCCTTGAGTGCCGTCGTCGAAGAGGCTCAGGGATTTGTTTAGGGCTTGATCAACTTCGAACATCATGGTTCCACGTTTGGTGCCTAATTCGACACTGCAGGCAAGCGCGCAATAAGTGATTTGCCCCCTGCCTTCTATGAGCTCTGGCGAAAGGTAGAGGGGCGTGCCGTAGAACGAGTGGAGACACACGGTGTTCCTCAAAGGCGGCACGCATGAGCCCAAAGAACACTGTCCCTATGACCAGCTTCAGACTTGCTTCACTCTTCACACATATCTACGAACTCACATATGCACATGTGCCCCAAAACCCTACATTCCCAGCCAGAACCCGCATAGACCCGCAACACGAGTGTTGCCGTAAGCTGGCTTTTTATCTCAAGAAACCGCGCGCGAAGAGTCTCGCTCATTCCTTTGACAGCAGGAGGGATGCGCAAACTACGGTGCGTCTTGGCTGCTTCAGAGGCCGAGCGACTCGGACATCTGCCGTGACACCCCGAAGTCGCCAAGTTTGATGACGCCCTCGTCGTTCAGCAACAGGTTCATGGTCCTCACTGTGAACTCAGAACGGGAGTCTCAAAGTGAGCTTGCGGCAACAGCTACAGGTTTGGGGGCTTCTGTTGCTGTGGCTCCACACACAATCCCCTCACTCTGTTGAAATCCCTCCGCAGCAGAGGTCCCAAAAAGCGTAAATTGGAAGACGCCTGAACTCCACTAGCGCCCAAACTCTGCAAAGGAGCTTAATGTCGCGGTGCACGATGCCCCGGGCGTGAATGTGGCGCAGCCCTCGCAAGACCTGGCTTGAAAGGTCAGGTACTTAGGGGTTGACAACGTCTTACTGGCCCAATGTAGAGAGATTCCGAAGTAGAAGACCCCAACTCAAGCACCACCAGCCAGACACGAAAGACCTGCTCAATCCTCGTCGGTGCCCACAAAACCTAACTTGACCAGGCCTGGGCCAGCACGTCCCAAACCTCGTTGTCCGAGAAATGCTTCCCAAGCCGCTTTCCTGGCAATATTTCTGGGGTCTTTGATTTGTCAAAAGCATGTTGGGGGGTTTCAGGTTTTGTCAAGGAATTAGGGTGTTAAGTTGAAGATTCAGGGTTAAGGGCATCAATCCTGAGCCGTGCGTCTCAGGCTCCGGGCTCAAGATCCCTGTAAAGTATACAACTCCCTAGTCCTAAGCACCAAGTCAAAATCGCTCATAGATGTATTGGATCAAGGCGGGATTTGCGCTGTGGGGATTCAAGAGGCTTCAAGGGCTCGTGTGACATGTCCTGACAGCTCAAGGGCGAGTTTGTGTTCCGTCTTGACAACCATTTGCTAGAAAGGACCTGATGCCGGTCATGCAAGCAATGTGGTGCATGCCGTGGCAGATTGCCGAGCTGCGCGTTTGCAGCTCGCCATGCAAATCGCCCCGGTTGGCATACCTTATCAGGATTCCAGCGTTTAGGACATGTGGGCTTCGGATTCCGGTGCCTGGTGCCAGCTCAGATGTGTTTGCGCTGCTTGAGCATGTGTGCACGTGGCGTATTGTTCCATCATTTGACAGATAATCCTACTTAAAGTTCCGAGGCGAGGGAGTACCAGGGAGGTCTCGCTTGCCACAATTCTAAGTGGGAGTGCTTCATTGAGCCCGCGCGTGGGTCAAACCTTCGTCCTACTGCAGGAGAGCAGCCCAAGTACCTTGAGGTCCCTTATCAATACAGTTTCCCTTGACATGGCCAGGCCGCTCCAGAACGATGTAGAGACTTTGCGTCGGGAACTCCCAGAAGTAGCCGTAGCAGCGGATGATGTTCGGATGGCTCAGTCGTTTCATGACCTGCAGCGGCTACACTCTGAACCATGAGGACTGGAACGGTCCCAAAGAAGCCAATCACTATAGCTCCTCTGCTTTAAGTCCGTGAACCTTTACGACCAAAAGCTCCAAGCCAGGGCCTGCAGCCGCAGATTTCCGAACTGCTGAGGTTGAAGCCTCTAAGGCCGAAGCCCTGAATCCGAAACCCCGAAAGCCTGCCTACTCTGGGGCACATCAGGCTCAGACAGGAAAGCTTCAAATTCCTGCCTCGTACTCGTTGAACATGTCCTTCGCCTTGCCCAGCTCCGGCACTTTGCCTCAACGAAGCTTAGCTCCAAGTGGAAGGAGGAACCTCTCTCCGTTCATCTGGGATCTCGCCGAATGTGGAATTTAGGGGGTGACAGGGCTTCGGTAACAGCCCCAGCTCAAACTCCCGAGACCGTAAAAACATTAGACCGTGAACCCAACCCCTGGCTCCCCTTTGAAGGGCTCAAGGTCTCGCTGCTGACATGGGGACGCTTCTTCAGCACCACGGTATCTTTCAGCTGGCTCTGAGGATCCTGGCGCGGCTTCCCGGGCTCTGCCACTGTTTCGGGTTTCGGGTCAAAGCGTTGGGTTTCAGCTTTAAGCTTTAGGTTTAAGATTATCTGTGCTTGCAAGGGGTAGCAGACAATATGAGAGAAGCCGAAGCCATGTTCTGGGATTTCCCCAGCTAGGTAAAACACATGCCACAGTACACACCATGCCCTGTTGTAGACGTACTACGGCTCGATGTCACAGACTTTTGGGGCTTCCGGCATAAAAGGCGGAGTCGAGCTAGACAACATGGGACAGATCCTCGTTGATACGATTCCGGGTTTACGGCTTCATGTGCCCGAAAGGCACACAACGTTCAGATCCCCCTTAAACCAAAGAAACACCGCCTTTCCATGCCGAGGGTGACTTTCATTCTCTGAAGAGAGCCTACGCTCTGAGGCCCTCAAAACCGGGCAACAAACCTTACAACGGCTGCCCAGTCGCGTTCGGATGACAGGGCGGCAGTTTCGGAACAAACCCGGTCAGTTTTGGGGCAGAGGTCGGCAGTTTCGGTCCCACAACGGTTGATTCTCAGACCACAGAGGCCGCAGAAACCAGTAAACGGGGAAAGTTGCAAGCCTTGAAACGGACCGTTGAGTTACAACAACCACAAGGACAGAAGCTACACAGACTATGCACAACGAGGACGACGGCGGCCAACACGACGGCGAAACACATGCACGACCAAAAACCAACAGGTGCCATCGTCTTTTCAAGGGGCGTTTACGACATGTGCCAATCATTCTGGCCAAATGGACTTGCTAGGCCCAACCCATTAACCCATTAACCCAATCATTCTGGCCAAACGGACTTGGGAGTAGGGTCCGTTCCCACTTGGGCAAATCATTGGGTCAATGGGTGACTGGGTTAATGGGTTGGGGGTTGATGGGTTGGGGATACAGCCTACTCCCAAGTCCATTTGGCGAAAATGATTGGGTTAATGGCTGAATGGATTCATGAGCTGGGGCCTGCCAACTCCATTCGCGCAAAATGATTGGATTAAGGAGCCAATGGGTCAATGGGTTGGGGCGCTGGCACCCGCGTGTTTCGAAACGCAAGTTGTGTTTCGAAGCGCACGCCTGCTTATATCACACTGCAGGTCAAGTAGCACGTAAAATAACAATTGTTTCACAGATCGATGTGTAGGTATGGCCAGGCCTCTGGCATTACGAGTGAGAACTGGCAGCACAACACATTGATGCCTAGTTCGGTTCACCAAGGTCATCAAGAGTCAAAGCGCCCAAGGCCCGTGGAATGCTTAATTCATGATATACTGCACTATGTCATACTAAACTATGTTGTCTTTTCTTACATATTATTCAATATATACTGCTAGCCCCTACTACGGTTGCAGATTTTTACGATAGTATACAGCTGCGCTATATTATATACCATCTATATTTATACTCTCTGCTATATACAGAACCATACTTTAATCTTCTGTGGACTATGCTATAGACTATACTACGGACTATTTTGCAGACTGTACAAAAGACCATAGACTTTACTATCGACTATACTGTATGCTATACAAAAGATTGCACGATGAACTCGAGGAAATACTGGAATGCATGCTTTAGCGTATACTCTATAGTATACTCTACTGTACTGAATACTATGCTATATACTACACTGAACTAGTACACGTTACTATACTTTACTTATGCTTTACTCTACTATACTATACTATAGTCTACAAGTATCATGAGTGAAATTCTGCGAAGCACATATTAGTTCATGCTATACATCCGCCCACGAAATGACTTTCTATCATGCTGCGTTGTGTTGTTCTGCTGATATACTCTTGCAAACCTTGTGCTACTTTACTGTCCTGTGCTACATTAGACATATTGAAATAGACATATACCATAATGGGTCATACAACATATACACATATACATACATACATACATACATACATACATACACATACATACACATACATACACATACGTACACGTACATACACATACATACACATACATAC